ACAGACACTAATTGACTGTGTGTGTGTGTGTGTTTCAGACTCGTCTGAAGCTGCTCAAGAACCTCCTCAGCAAACACAGAAACACTTTACCTCAGAAAGAGCTGAGTCAGTTAGTCAGGTAAAACACAGCTCCATATTTCTGTAGAATATGCCGTTGAGACTAATGACTATCAGTGCTGGGTCATTTTATTTGTGCGGTATGTTTTTTTTGAGGATGACGGAGGGTTACTCCGGCAGTGATCTTACCTCGCTGGCTAAAGACGCTGCTCTTGGTCCTATACGAGGTACATTCATACTTCATGCAGACATTTTATTCAAGTATACCAAGACATTTGGTTTAGAGGTGGACTTTTTGTTAGATAATTGTGTCCTGCTCTTTCTCAACACAGAACTGAGGCCTGAACAAGTGAGGAACATGCCAGCCGATAAGGTAGAGAATATTAAGCAGTGTTATATTAACATCATTTAGATGCCTATTATATTATTTAAAAAATGTTTTTTTTTTTTTTTGTAATGTTTTTGTAGTTTTCGTTATTTTAGTACAAGTTAAACTAAATGCAAATGAGAAATGTTGCCTTGGCAGCTAGGTTTTATAGATACTATTTTATTGTATTTCACCTTTTCACGTAACATTTTATAGTTTGTTGAATTTTTAGTTAACTAACAACACTGATATTAAATCTGTTCTTAAAGGGATAGTTAACCAAAAAAAAAAAAAAAAAAGTGCTGTCGCTTGAACTGCATTTGATGATTTTTTTTTTCCCCCTGTAAAACATAAATATGAGCTAGCTAAATATTAATTCCTATTTTTCCGTATAACAGCAAATGTTTTTATACAAAAATTTGAAAAAACTTCCAAGATGGTAACTAGTCGCCACTCGCTGATTAAACACTTATTTATACAAAGTGTTCTATTTCAAATACTATTTTTTTAATTTTTAATTGACATACTATTTTTAAACATACCATGTAGCATGTTCTTGTCTTTCTTCTGTTCAGATGAGGGACATCTGTTTCTCTGATTTTGTGGATTCGCTCAAGAGGATAAAGCGGAGTGTCAGTCCTCAAACGCTGGATCAGTACGTCCGCTGGAACAGACAGTACGGAGACACAACAGCCGTATGACACCGACACGGAAGAAGGGTTTTTACTAAAGACGTGGAATAACAAAAAACATTTTTTGTATAATTTTGTCTTTTCTACGACTTTGCTTTTGAGTCGTTTGGAGCTCAGGCTGAGATTTGCTTTGACTGAATTACACCAGAGCTCAAGACCATGTGGATGGCAAAGCATGACAAAACATTTTCTACAAAACCAAGAAACATTTGGTTTCTAATTCTTCCCCTTGATTGGTGTGTGAATGATAAAGCACTTGGCGTCTGTGGTGTTCTAGATGCATTTGTTCTTCTCTTATCTTGTTGCTTGATTTGTTTTTGATTCATGTATCCAGATAAATCGAATCCTCAAATGGCGGTGTGATGTGCTGAAGTCAATCAAATAGGGATTCCGTTGATAAATGAACGATTAAAGAATGTATTGTTTGAGCTCCTGTTTAGAAACCGTTCAGACTGCATGTGTATTTGGATTGACCAGCACTCCTCATGTTTTTTTCCATTTGCAGGCACTAGGGGGCATCAGTTGAGACTGTATGTGAATGTCTTCTGCTAGAACTAAAGTCATGATGTTGCTCCATGTACAGATGTTTTTCAAGTCTGCTGTGTCTTTAATAATGTTGAATTTTAAAAGGTTTGCCGTGAGTATTTGGGAAACGATTTGATTCAAGTGCTTAACAGATTTATATACATGTACTAACGGTGTTGTTTTAAATTGAAAAAAAAAAAGGTTAAAAATCTGGAATTATGCATCATATTTATAGAATATAAAAATAAAATATACTTTTATAATCTAAATAGTTTGAAAGTTAAATCATCATTAATGGCAAAATTGTTGTGCTTAAATTTGATTCATTTGTAAAGTGCACATAAAAAATTTCACATTTAAAATTATAATTTATAATAAAAACTAAATATTTTTATAATATAATTTAGAATTTAATAATGTCGATTTACGAAGGCAATATTTAATGTCAAACGTTGCACTGAGCCACTATGCAACAATTTGATTCATTAGTAAAGTGCATGTTTAAAGAAAACTAAAATGATCATATAAATAAAATATAATTTGGTTACACTTTATATTACCACGTCCTTGTTACAGTGTAATGTTACATTTAAGTAATACCGAGTAATAATTAACTACATGTACTTTTATGGTTAGGGTCAGGAGGAGGGTTTGGTTTAGGGTTGTATGTAATAATGCATTTGCATTTATTGTTAGTGAACGTTACATGTAGTAAGTATGTGTAGATAAAAGTGGAGTGTAGCTAAAATAAAAGTGTTCCTTAATATTTATGATATAGATGTAATTAATCAATATTATTATAATTCTAGTGCTTTTCTAATCACTTGAAATAAGGAACATTTTGAAGATCAAAAACACTTTAATTTCTGTATTAAAGTGAACAGATCATTATTTAAAGGGGCGTCTCCAGTTTCCATCCTCTGACACTTGTCTTCAGTGTTGTATTGAGTGAGCTACACAGCAGCAAAACCAGTCATTGTTAAAAACCCATTATACAGCCCTTTGTAAAATTCACTGTCAAAAGCATTTACAGAAAATTCTGATTGTTTTCATACAGGCATTTAAAGGGTTGGTTCACCTGAAAATTAGCCCATAAATTACTCACTCTCAAGTCATCCTAGGTGTATGACTTTCTTCTTTCAGACGAATCCAGTCGGAGTTATATTAAAAATTGTCTTTGATCTTTCAAGCTGTTTCATGGCACTCAGCGGGTGTTGCATGCATCAGTCCAAAAGCACTTAATTAAAATGCGCCCATCCATAAAAAAAATAAAATAGTCTCTCACACGGCTCCGGGGGGTGAACAAAGGCCTTCTGTAGCGAATCGATGCGTTTTTGTAAGAAAAATGTGTAACACTTTACTTGAAGGGGTGTGCATAAGACTGACATGACACCTTCATATAATATAACTCCGACTGGATTCGTCTGAAAGAAAGTCATATACTATGGAATAAAATCACTGTCAAAAATAATCGTACGTAAATTCAAAGCATTTGTGTGTAATTTTAATTTACTCGTTCGTAATTTAAAAGTATTGTATGTAATTCTGTTTTTTTGTCAGAGTTGTATTCCACAATCTACGCCCACGACAGTTTACAGATACGAGATTTTGTGTGTTTGTTAGAGTACAACTCCAAAATGTACGACTATGACAGGAAGATGAATCGATTCCACGAAGTGCGCATGCGCCCCGCCACCGTTTAAAACCACTGGCGCCAAAATGGCGGATCAGCAGCCGAGCGCTCGCTCATCGTCTCAGGTAAGTAATTTTTTTTTTATTTTTCAAATTCGGACATGTTTAAGGGTTAGTTATCACTAATGACAGAGAGGAGTAATATTACTAGAGGTGTCATTTCCCGGCATTTGATATTCGCAAATCTAGGGACTGTGTCTAAAGTTACATACGACATTGGTATACACTTTTCTAACTTCAATAGCATTTGAGGAAAAATACTTACAGTAACACAACCAACTGTGAAGTGGTCATGTAGTTCTCGGTTATAATGCACACCTTTTAGATTTTTGATATTTGTATTTACTAAAAACTAAATAAAACAACGGACATTTGTGTTTGTCATCCTGTCATTAATTATTGTCATTAATGGTGTTTATGTATTAGATAAAAACTGCAATAACTTTTTTTATTAGAAATGCTCGTTCTTCAACTCCAGGATGCCCCTCTAAAGCACAATCTAAATGGAGGATTTGTTATCCGAACTCTGAATTAAAAAACTTATGGACCTTTCCTCGCAGGCTATTTATCCCAAGTAAAATTAAAGAACTCCATTTCAAAATTGCTCATAGATACTACCCTTGTAATTTATTTTTGAGCAGATTTTCTGAGAATATATCCTCAATGTGTTCATTTTGTAATACTGATGAAGAATCTATTCTACATATGTTTTATCATTGCCCATTCACCAAGTCTTTTTGGTCAGAAGTTACCATGTTAATTTTTTCCTGCTGTAACAAAATGATAGAAATAACAGAATCTATCATTTTTTTTGTCAGATTTTCATTCCAAGGACATTAATCTGGAACATATTGTTTTATTGCTTTGTCTTCTGGGTAAATTTCACCTTCATAAAGCCAGAACCATTCATTGCAAACCTAACTTTAGAATGTTTTCATCTGATATAAAGTGCCTTTTTACTTCTAAGAATATGTCAAATCCTTTGAACTCAAAGGCTTCTAAAACTTGTAACATTCTTGAGTCTATTGTAAGCTATCTTTAAAATACTTTCTTTTTTTTTCTTCTTTATCATTGGTATATTTTGTCAATTTGTGTAGCTTGTCTAACTTCATGTGATGTTCATTAGCACCATGTTACTTCATAACTTGTTATTCTTTCAATTGCAATAAAAAAAAAGTAATAATACAAAAAAAAGCGAGCGCTCGGCTGCTGATCCGCCATTTTGGCGCCAGTGGTTTAAAACGGTGGCGGGGCGCATGCGCACTTCGTGGAATCGATTCATCTTCCCTCGGATAGTAATGCCTGTGACAATGATGACGTATTTTTGACAGTCCTTTCGCACACCGCACTTCGTGGTCGCAGTTCGCATGTCGTGCGTGTAACAGAGCTGTTGTGAAAACAAGCGTTGTGTCTGTAAACTGTCATAGTCGTACATTTTGGAGTTGTACTCTAACAAACACACAAAATCGCGTATCTAAACTGTCGTGGCCGTAGATTGTGGAATCCAACTCTGACAAAAAACAGAACTACATACAATACTTTTAAATTACGCACGGGTAAATTAAAATGACACACAAATGCTTTGAATTACGTACGATTATTTTTGACAGTGATTTTATTCCATTGGACGGCTTTTGATTGTCGCACTCAAATCTGACATGTTTCCACACACACACACATGTAAATGTCCAGGTAAAATGATGGATGTGGTTGTAGTTCAGTTGTGAAGGCCTCAGTGGTCCAGGATGCGCAGGTTTCCTGAAACGATCTTGTTCTCCAGCATTGCTCCGGCTGGGATGTCGATTCTGTCTCCATGATTAGCGATAATGATAACCGTTCCCTGTTGTACAGAAACAACGAGTCACAATATGCACACATGATGCGTGTAAATGCTCACAAAAATCAGACGTTCATACCTTGAGTGTGACTTGTTTTCCGAAGGTGACATCTCCTGATACAGTCAGGTGATCCAGCTCCAGCATGTCTGGGATGCTCTCAAACCTTTTCAGGAAGTCTCGAACCTAGAAATAAAAAGACAACAATAGAAAGATTATTCAAAAACTGCATATAATTAATTAAAAAAGTTAATTAGTGAACAGGTAATTCAATGTTTTAGGCCTTCAAGACACTTTTAAAAACACTTTAAAGAAGCTATTAAATGTCCGTAATTTTTTAAAAGAATTTTAACATTTTCTACTAATTTCTTTAATAATAATAATAATATAAACATTAAATATATAAAATATTGTAAATAATTTAAAAGGACTCAGTTACTGTACAGATTTTTTTAATGTTTCGGGCCTTACAGACATGGTAGCTTTAACTGAATTTTGTCTGTGAAATAACGAACTTTAACATTTTCAGCCATTTCTTTGAGGTTTTAATTAAAATATTACTTAACTATTGAACAGGTAATTCAATATTTCAGGCCTTTGAGACAATGCTTTTAATTTTCTATATTTTTTAAATGACATTTTCTAGTAATTTCTTTAATAGTAATAATATAACCATTTTAAATAAATAAAATACTGTATTATTAAAGTTAATAATTTAGAAATACTCAATTACTGACCATCTAATGTTTCACGCCTTACAGACAAGGTAGCTTTAAATTCTGTCTGTGAAATAACAAATTTTATTAACATTTTCAGCTCATTTCTTTGATGTTTTAAATAGAATATAAACATTTTAAATATAAAATATTTCATTATAAATAAAATAATTTGAATTACATCTAGGAAATGACAAACTTTAAAATTGTACGAGTTTACTTTTTTATGTTTTAAATACAATAAACATTTTAAATATATAAAACATTTCATTATTAAATAAACAATAACAGCATTTAATTACTAAACAGTTCAATTCAGAGTTTCTGGCCTTAAAGACACAGAAGCTTTTAACTGAAGCTTTTAATCTGTAAAATAACTTACATTTCTTTGATATTATATAATAATATATGATAATAAATTAGAATTATAATATAAAACAATATAATATAAACATTTAAAATATTTTATTATTAATATTATTTAAACACTTTCAATTATTTAGTTTATTAATAAAATAGTTTATTACTTAACAGCTAACTTAAGATTTCTTTAATTGAATTACATATAGTAAATAACTCTTAACATTTGCACTAATTTCTTTGATGTCGTAAATATAATTCATATATTTTTAATATAACATAAATGGTCTATCATGGTCTATTATTGAGGTATTGAGTACTTTACATGAAAGTCAAGCTCTCTCTTCCTGTCTAAGTGGGCGGCTCTTGTCCAGAATAAGCAGCACAGTGTAAAAGTCCTTAGTGAACCTTACTTTAGTGAAGGAGCTGCCCAGTTTGACGTGAGGTGTTGTGGGAAACTCTCTCTTGGGGCTCATGGTCAGAGAGCCCGCGTTCATGCTGTACAGGTTGGACATGACCAGCAGGAGGTCCGAGGTGGTTTTGACGGGCAGGAAGCGGCTGCGGGGCACGTTGATGCCGAGCGCGTTGTCGAAGCTCTTCATAGCAGCACCCACAGCCGTCTCCAGCTGGATGACGTTCAGACCGCCGTCGAGAGTCTGGAAACAGAACAGAAGCCCGTTTCACAACCAAACGTCCGCACAAGCGTTGTTCTCCGTAATGGAGAAGGCATGAAGGGCACCTTAGGGTTGACAATGATCTCCATGTCCATGGCGTTCTTCTCGTGAAGCCTTTTAATGGCCGGCAGGCTGATCCACAAGTTGTTGGTGTTGAAGATCTTGAACTTGGTGACTGATTTAAACTCATCTACGTGAGCTTTGGGCACCTGCGCGATCTCCAGCAGCCTCAGTTTACCATCGTACTGTGTCAGCGTGCCACCCTGAAACAAACAACACCGAGTGACTGGACTGCCATTAGCCAATGAGCTTGAAGATACACACACAGCGGCATTTGGAGCATGCTTCGCTTAGGGGTATAAAGAGGTTTGAAAGCACTCAGACAGGTATGTTCAATGCAATTGTTTTGATAGAGAGAAACAAGCTATAATTCTAGTTTCAATATTATGTATTCTTCAGACATTGTTCTGTATATAAAATAAGTATCAGCTGTATAAAAGTGACCAACATTTGGTTTTTGATATCCAATGTTAATGGATAGGATTCATTCATTTGGACATGAAGCAGCACTGAGATCCCAATATCCCTGGGATCGAACCACTTAGGGCCTTCAAAATGAAGATTCCAAAAGAAACATTTCTTAGGAACCAGAATCTAAAATCATATTGAGATATCTTCTGTACTTCTTGAGTTACACGCAGGCAAACTTCCGAAAAAGAATCATTTATTGCACTCGGACAGGTATGTTCAATGCAACTGTTTTGATAGCGAGAAACAAGACACATTTCTAGTTGCAACATTATTTGTTCTTCAGACCTTCATCTTCAAAAGAAAAAAGTATAAGCTGATTGCAAAGTGACCCACATTTGGGTCTTGACCATTGAAAATGTATACAATTGAATGATTTGCTCCTGGAGCCATACTGAAATTCCAATATCTCTGGAACTGAACCATACAGGGCTTTAAAAATAAAGATGCCAAAAGAAAAGTTTGTTAAGACCCCAAATCTAAAAGGGCATTAAAAATATTTAATGCTTCTTGAGTTACAGGCATGTAAACTTTTGAGAAAAAAACTTGAAAAGTGCCTTTTCCCCATTTTTGAAGGACCACCATTGACACATAATGCAACAAAGATTGCTGAAGTCAACAGATTTTACTAATAGACCTACCAATCTCTGTGTAAAAGTAACATTACGATGCTGCCATCTTTCTGAAGTCATTTTTAACCCCCTGTAATTTGGCTCCGAATCTCAAGTGAAAATTTTCATTTTGACCCTCTTCAAAATAGTGGATTACTCCGTAAATACACATCCGTGACATACTATTTTGGCTTTCTTCACTATACATGTTTATATTTCTTTAGAAAAAATGCTGGCAAAATTTAAATTTGTTGGGACCTCAGCACCTCTGGTTGAGTTGACATGGAATGACCCACAAAGAAAATGACAGCGGTGAGAAAACAGCAGTTAAGAAAACAGAGATGCCCAAAATTGGCCTGTGATGTCCTTTGATTTGACCTGCCATGCCACATCACAAAAAATAGGTGCCATCAAAGCATATTTTAATTTGTATTAAACATGAAAAACAGTGTCAGTGTTGCTTTCAATAAGAATTACAACTTCAGTTTCTTCTATAAATCAGTTTTTACTCATGGAGTAGTTTACCTACCTGAGCAAACGTTTTCAAAAAGTACACTTTGGCAAGCGGTCAAGCGGGAGGTTTCAAACTCCCATACAAACAAACTTTGTTTTGCCCTGATTTTGTTCAAAATGATGTCACACCAGTCTGTCCTTCGATTTCGCCTGAAGTACATCACAGCCTTTAGAGGACCATTTCAATCAATTATTAACCCTCAAGTCATTTGAAACCAATCTGAACTCATAAAATGATCAGTTTTGAAGAATGTTCACGCTGCTCTACTTTTGTACCCCACAGAATGACACGAGCGATACATTAGCATGGTAGCTCCACTCACCTTCACGTCAGCTCGTGTCTTATCGGTGACCTCCATGACAAATTCGCAGCGTTTGTCACTGGGCTGGCTCATCAGGTGGTTCAAGATGTGCAGGTCCACCGTGGCGCCCAGGTTATCAATGTTGGACACAAAGATGTAC